GAACATTCCAAATGATCTGTGGATCCAAACACTTTCACCTAAGCCATATTAAATAAATAAAGATATGTAAAAAGTTTGTTTTTTTTTTTTTTATTCTTGATATATTTTCTTATAATAATAAAATTTTAAATTGTTCTTTATAAAAATTCTCAGTGAAATGCATATACTTTTAATTATTCTAACTTGAAAGTTTAAGAGTCATCTGAAAAAGATTAAAATCAACTCAAAAACTTCAGGTCAGTTCTTAAAGAAAAGTCCTATATGTTGTAATTTTTGGCAAATATTTGAATGAAAAGCAGCATTATTATTATGACATTTTTATAAAAACTTTTCTAGAGGTTAAAAAAAATATTGGATAGAATTTTTTACAAGGAGAAACAACAAAAATAGTTACCATTGTCTAGGTTTTATGTTTAAACAATACAAATTATGACAAAACTAGAATAGGCAATAGTATATTAAATATAAAATAGGTAGGAGTCACCACTCAAAACAAAACCTGCATATAATTTCCATTGTGTTACAATTATTAACTTTTTCTTATATGAAAAGAAATTAAGTTATTTTATCAAGGACAAAACATTTTTATTCTATCTTTTGTACAGTCAGTTATGTGCCATGCATGATACACGTGTAGGTGATCACATAGCATTCGATATATGACTGATGAGGTGGATTTTTCTGGCAGTAGGTTGCCATTTCTTTCTGCAGTAGACCAGTTGCCATCCAAGGCTATAAAACCTGGTCTGTCCTGCTATTTACCCATAGCTGAGGGGAGAAGAAGAGGATTCATACCTTTGCCAAGAGTATTAGCACATAAGTGAATATAATGGATTCAACTGGAATTCGAACTCGGCTCTCTGATTTCTCAACCCAAGCCGCTATCCATTATTCCAGCATGCATCCTCTATTGTACACAATTATTAAAAAAAAAAAAAAAAAACATAATTGTTTACCATCCATTGCATTTTAAGCACTAAGAATAAAAAAAAAATTACCTGCAGCAAAAAAATAAAAATACTGGCTTAACATTTAAATTCATTATATTTATCAATTACATGTCATTCAAGTCATTAGACAAAAAATATACAGAAGTTTATTTTATTCACATCAGAAATACTGACTATTATCAACATTTTTTTAATTCAGCAAAGTTAATGTTTATAAACTAAAATCAATTTCAATGTTTATAGACATTTATTAAATTTAGCTTAATCTGATACAGAACAACAACAGGTAACTAGGTGAGGGTCTAATTCACTACACCAGTGATAGCGTTAAAACTAGCTTGTTAACTGTAAAACTGTAACACTTTGGCATGTGCCCAAAATTTAAGGTTTATATTTCTAACTAACAAAAATGGTTATCAGAAATTCTGCTGTATCCATAAAAAGGTTTTACTTTATGAAAAGATGGTAAACAGACCTTTTAAAAAATGTTAGAAAGGACAGTGTATCACCCATCAAGCACCATGGAAATAAACTGGTTCATGTAATTGATGTTGGTTAAGAAAGAAAAGTATACATAACAAATTTCATGTTTTTCAACAGCTGCTATTCATTCTCATCTTTATAATGAGAAATAATTTGTCCTTTTTATCTTTTGAAAAAAAAAAAAAAAAAAAAATTATTTTATAAGAGAATTTATTCATTTCTAATTTTAAAGAATATCAAATCAAAAATGGAGCACCTTCCAACATTATCCTGATATCTTAATAAAAAAAAATAGGAAAAAATGATTTTCAAGTATAAGAAAGGGCTTGAAAATTATTAAATTATGAATGCTTGCTATTGTTATATATTCTATTTCTGGCTAATTCTACTATAAAAAGATTTGGTTGCCTTGTCTAAGAAATATCAATAAAATAAGGTTTCCAAGCACATCTTTAAAATTAAATATGAAAATTATTTGGATCTCCTCCACTATCATGCCTAATGGTTACTTAGTACTGAATAATTAGTAATGATTCAACGTTCCAATATCACAGAAAATAATTTGCCACTTGCTTCTCTCTTTAATCCATAAATACAATATAATCTTTACAAAATATTATTTATATACTGACATTCAATTTCCTTGTTCTTTATGAAGTTTAATAGAAAAAAAGAATTAATTTGATAAAAAAAACTAATTGGATTGATTTTTTTTTATAATTGCAGAAGTTTTTACTGGTTTCAAAATACCATCTAAACAGTGTAAGTGTGAATCTAAAAATTATCAGTACTTGTAATATTTAAATACAATAGCAGAATTATTTTTGCCTCATAAGATTCTCAAATGAACAAAATTAAAATAGGAAAAAGGGGAAAGGTAAATAACAAAAACTAAAACCAAAGTCAATACTCAAAATATTAGATGAACAGTGGATAATGGGGAGAGAGAATAATCCACAAAATTTTTTTACAATAAGTTATTTTAAAAATTTACTATAAACAAAACTATATGTAAAGCCTTTTGAAAAACTTGAAGTAAATTTTAAAGTATCTATAGTAATATCATTAAAACTGCTATGGTGTCAAAATTATTTTAGTTGAATGATAATGTATCTGTAACATTGTCAACCAGTTTTAATTTAAAAAAAAAATAAATAAATAAATAAATAGTTGTTTACTTTACATGTTACATTCTTAAAAAGTAACTTCCAATGATATAAACAAAATAAATGAGAAATTACTATACATCTTTCTATTCAAACCAGCATGAATATCCTTGGTGTTATACTAATACCAATTCAGCCATTGTAATCTCACGCCTTCTTCAACTTTCTGCCAAAGTACTTAGAATTTATTCTTAGAAATTTGGACGTAACCCTTTATTCACTCTAGTGAAAAAAAAAAAAAAAAATCTTTCCATATTTAAGAGACTTGAGTCTTATTTAACTTTGTATCACTTGTCTAGTTCTTTCAATGAATCAGAATGTGAATTTTCAGCAATACAAAATCTAGGAAGTAAACTCAACTGCCAGGGAACCAGATGTAGTTTCACCAAGGTTTCAATCCACTAGGCATAGGTAACCAATACAAAATATCTCCTATGCATGGACAGCTGAACAATAACAATCTCTTCCCCACAGTCGAGTGAATAAAGGGTTAAATACAAAATTCCAAGAAAGTTACAGAGTATGAAGAGACACTTGAAGAAGTCTAAAAAGTACAATGGCTGAAAGACTGAGTATAACAACCAATTGAGCATCCTAGTCAGAATAGCAAGGCATACAATAACTATCTGAAAAAGTAAAATAAAAATTAAAAAATTATGTTCTATTTTAGGTAGACATGATTCCATAACAAATTTTTTTTTTTTTTAAATCATTCCTTATTTTTAATTTCTCAAGCAACATTTCTACATGTAAAAATCCAATCTACACAAGGTAAGCTGAGAACATGACAGACTAATCACAAAATATTAAGAATTTAAAAAAAAAAAAAAAAAAATTAAGTAAAGAACTTTTGACTTAAATTTTTGTAAAGTTAAATATATGAAAAAAAACAAAAAAAAAAAACAAATTTAAATTATACATTGAAAAATTTAGAAATTTATCAAAATTGTTACTTAAAAAAAATAATTTTTTACCCCAGTCATAGGCAGTAAGTTTTATATAAAATATATTTCAGATACAGGCTTTGAACATGTAACCTCAAATTTAACTTTATTTCTTTTCATCTAGAAAATAAAATAGTTTGTGGAAGGTATTTTATAAATTATTTCCTAGCTAGAGCTTGACTGTAATTAAATGGTTATACTAAATAAGACATCCAAAACTTTAAAAAAATCAAATCCCACTATAGATAAATTCTATTTAATTATGAAAATAACTGGTTAATTCATTATTAATAAATGAATAGGAATAAGAAGATAAACAACAATCACCAACATATTTAAATTGACAAATAAGTATGAGTTAGCAAAATTTTACTAAGATCTTTGCAAGAGAACCCTTCTAAAAATTCATACTCAAATTATTAGCAAGAGATATGGACAAAGAGGTAATTCCTACCATTATAATTTATAAACTGGCTATATCTTCCAAAAGGAAGAAAAAGAAAAAAAAAAATGTTTAAATCCCGAAAAGTTTGAATGACAAACTCAAACGCTGAATAATTTTTTTAAAATTTTCTTCAGAACTAATAGTTTGTTTTAATATACTTTAAATTAATTTGATCAAATTATGTGATAAGTATGAAAATATTTCACATCAGCTTCAATCTTTAAATCAACTTATAGATTAAAATATATAGACACCAAATAAAGCAGCTGTGTTAGCTTCCTAGCAGCATCTACTTTGTGGTTAGTATTCTTTTATAAAATGTCATAGAAATGTTATAAAATATAAATAAAAATAAAATTACTGAAAATTAAATTTAAAAAAAAAAAATTTTATACACACTTGTATTTGTTAAATTAGATAAAAGTTTCATTATTTAAAAAGTATAGCAAAAGGCTTTGTAATATAAAAATACATTTTTAATCTCTTTACTAAAATCAATTTCATACAATCATATGCAAAAACAGTTAAAAAAAAATTGTATTAAATTGCTTATATTTGGTTAAGATATTTATCTATAACCAACCTAAAATAAAACACAAGTTCAGGTCTAACTTTGTTTCATATATCTAAAACCATATTGATCACATTTTGTAACTGGAAGGGGTCAAATCAAAAATTCCAATATTAGCATCACTAGACTAAAGGAGGTCATGAACTAACAATTAAACCAGCTCCTCAATGTAACTTAACATCAGCCTAAAAACTTTACAAAATAAAGTCATTTTTTGCATATTTATATGGAAACAGATCTGAACTACTTTGCAAATAATATAATATAATATAATAATATAAAACAATTTCTTAGCATCTGCATTATTTAAAAAAAAAAAAAATAACCTCATATAATATTGTATAGTAAAAGCTAAACGAATTAGTAACAATGCAAAATGACACCAACAATGCATGTATGTATAAAATAATGCAAAATAATAAATTTTAAAAAATTGCTTACTTTGACAATCCCTGAACATGCCCTGATTTTTCATCACTTGTTTGTTCATCACTAGAATCATCATCATCATCTTCCTCTTCATCATCGTCATCCTCCTCTTCATCATCATCGTCATCCTTATCATCTTTGTCGTCATCTTCAACATCTTCCTCATCTAGTATATACTCATCTGACACATCTTCATCTTCAGATGAAAAGCCATCATCGTCAGAGTCATCCTCCTCTTCTGACACCTGTTGTCGTTTCAATTTCTTAGACTTGGGCATTTCTAGGTTTTGCAAGTGTTTCTTAAACTTTGCCTTCTTTTTGTTCAAATCTGCCCATTTAGCTTTGGCAATTTTAGTCCGATTTTTCTTGCAAGCACTGCCAGAAATATTCTTCTCTAGCATATTATCACTGTCTGATGCTTCTCCATCACTGACCATCTGAACTGAATATCTTTTCTGCAACTTCTTCTGCTGCTTTTTGGGGAGTAATTTAAAGTTGGCACCATCAATTCTTACCCTTGCTTTCTGCTTTTTGGTCAAGTTCTTTGTACTTAATACTCCTTTGCCAACTCTTACCTTCTTCTTGTTCAGCAAATGGTTAGCACCTTTCACCCTTTCAGCCATTAGTTTTTTCTTCCTTGCTTTGTTCTTTAACTCAGGTGTGTCAAGGTCATAAATGCACACACCATCTGCATCTTCATAATTTGCTGACAACAGTTTCTGTCTTGCTGCTTTCTTTCCTTTACCACAGAAGTCTCCTGACAAAGATTTTTTAGATCTATTTTTTGTTCCGCTCATTGCAGCCAACTCAGTATCAAGGTTAAGTTTCTTCCATTTTCGGAGCTTCGATGAAGGACTCTCTCCAAAATGCTGTTTCTTTTTCATATGTAATCGCCCTTTCTTGCCGTTTTTCTCATCATCAGAATCTGTTTCAAGGCTGCCATTTTTCTGAAGTTTCCTCTTCTTCTTGGCTGGCAATACTAAATCTTCATCTTTTAGTTTGTACCGACGGGACGGAGCTGAGAGGTGTTTAAAGATCTTTTCCTTTATATCATCAGAAGCATCAATTTTGAGCCCATGCCAATATTTAGCAGACCTATCCAAAACTTCTGGGTCAGAGTTTTCATTTATCAGTTTTCTCTTTTTCTTACTAGACATCCTGGGACCATTAAGCGTCATTGAAACGCCCTTAGCCATGGCCTTTTTGCTGCTACCCTTAATGCCGTGGGGAGACATGACAATGATGTACAAGATCTAAGAGTTGGCACACAAGTTCATTATAATGTAAGAAAGATCAGAAAAAACTGCCACTAATGTGGCTAACGCATCTTTGTAGTTGGATATAAAATCTGAAAGATTAAAAGAAAAAAAATGTTAGCATCTTTGAAACAAAACAAAAATACAATCATTATTTATTCTAAACTATAAAAATATCAAATATTTTGCCAAATATACAGAGTTCTTGTAATTTTCTTTGTTATATTTGGAAATTGTTTAATGAATACACATCAGTTCTGCAGCTGTTTTAATGTCACTATTTCAATTTTCTTCACTACTAAATATAAATTAGGTCTTGTTAAAAATTTCTAATATAATCAAAATTATTCTACACTTAAGGTACACTATTCATGATGATAACCAAAACTATACTTCAAAAGTTCAGAATTCAAATTCTGGTGAAATCTGTTGTGTTAACCTTCGCAAAATACCCTTGGGAAAGGCATGATGAATCCATCTCTTCTTCACCACCTCCCAGCTGCAGGTTTAACAGCAGAACAAACCCGGCTCCCTAACCTCAGGTGGTGGTCAGTTTAAGAGAAGGATTCTTTCAATTACAAACTGTGAAAGCGGCAACAGGAAACTACCCCATTATCTTTGACAAGAAGTCATGAAAGTTTGCAGAAAATAAAAAAAAAGGAATCTGAGGGGAATTCTGATTACCTATGCCCTGAACGGTTAGTTTAATGTTCAAAATTAATGATCCTAAGTTAAAAAAAAATTAAAACCGATTATTTAAATGCATTTAGATTTCTTTTAAAAAAGAATTGAAGAGTTTACCTTAGAAAATTATATCATTTACACCACTGGCCACTGAGAAAAAGGTAAGCCTCAGTAACTGTGTAGTCTACAAAAACAAAGCGAAAAACATTGGTGAGAAAAATATAAATTCATTAATAAAACTGGTCAACAAAAATAAATTTTGAAATCATCTTTTTTAGCTAATTTGAGGACACTGAATTTTACTTTTTCTTGATTAGCTACCATTTTTGCTGTACAAAAATGCTTCATTTTTTGGAAAAAAAAAAAAAAAAAAAAAAAAGAGCAGTTTTTCATTTGTTTTCTGTATATATGATATTGACCAATGGCAATTTCTCAAAATGAAATCGTAGAAACCTCTCAATTCGTATTTAAACCAACAAATTGAGTCTGCCTATTGAAAAATACTATTTTTGCAATAACAATCAGACCCTAAGTCTTTAAAAATAACATGATTGAATATACCAACAAGTATTTTTATCAAATCATTTAATAAACTAAACAGCAGAAATAAAACCTTCGTGAACATAAGAACTATGGTAAAAATTTTCTTTCTTGATTGTCTGTCATGTTCAATTCCCTTTTGATACTCCAGCAGTATCATGTGTACAATGAAATAGGTGCATTCAATTGGGATGTCTTTAGTTGAGGTTTCTTTCCAACTGTAAAAACAATGTTCTCAATATGCTTCGTTTCCTTCCGTAGTGGTGGGATAAATTTATGAATATCAAACAGAAGATTTTATTTAGGGTTTCATTTTTTTTTATGGCCCCTTAATTATCAGGTTTCGTTTACTAAAGTGTATTACTGATAAAGTTTATCAGCTAATTTGAATTTTGGCGATTTTGAAAATATTCGGTACTTCTATTTTAAAATTTTTGACTCAAAAAATACTTTTTTCTTATAAAAATAGTTTATTTCAAGTAACTGACATAAATTGCCCGGCTTACCTGAAAATTGATGTTACGATTTTTATAAAAATTTTCGATCAGCCAAGATCGTAAATTGATCTTTTTTTCCCAAAAATGAGCAATTTCAGTACAGCAAAAATGGTAGTTAACCATGAAAAACTGAAGTCATTTTTGGAATTAGCACCATCAAATTAGCTAAAAAACGTGTTTTGTTTCTTGGCATCAAAAATCGTGTTGGCCAGTGTAATCATTTAAACTAGAATATTTTAAGACGTTTAAAATAATTGAAAAATGCGACTTAAAATATGCACATTAAAAAAAACAAACAGAAAAATGAATTATTTTTCACGAAAAAAAAAGTAAATAAAAATAAATAAATAAAAATGCGTTCACATCATAAAGAGTCAACAATTGAAGTGAAGTTTTTCCAAACATTGTCATTAAACTTAAAGATCAATTTTTATAAAAAGAAAATGTTTCGTCGTAGATTGTGATTATTTTTTTCTAAATAAATAAAAACAATTTAAAAACAAATCCTTCCTTTATAGTTCTTCAAATACATTTTTTTAACAAATTTTTTTAGCAATTATGCATAAAAAAGTTTATTTCCAAGACTCTAAGGATCCGATTGGTTTAAGAATATTACCTGTTTTTTTTTAGGTATTAAATTAAAAGAAAAAAAACAAACTTTAAATTGAAAATATTATTAAGGATATATGAAACGGAAGCTAAACTTTTTAAATTTTAAAATCAAGTTTAAAGTATCACAAAGCAAGAAATTTTGTGAAAAGAATTAATTCTATAATATTGATATCCGAATTTGATCAAAAAGTTGCAAAATTTAACATTTTTTAAACAGATGGTGAAAATTCGAAGAGAGAAGAAAAGAGGAAAACCCAGTAGACAAGTCCAAGATGGCAAAAGACAAAAAAAAAAAATTAAAAAAAAAATTACATTTGATTTTTTAAAAGGTTCTGCGAAGAGAAACCCTTTCAATTAAGTACATAAGCACTGAGCGTGTTTGTTTATCTAATCAAAAATCGTAACAAAATTTTTTTTAAAAAGTTTATCTTTAATAAATGGATTAAGAAAAAATGTAATTATCTGATCAGTAAAGTATTTTTAATGGTGAAATTAAACTTACTTAACGCTTATTAGAGAATAAGGAAAATAAAATAAATATTCAATAAAAATAATTTAAGAGATTAAAAATAAAGCAGAAAAAAAAACGAGATTCCAAAAAGAAAACAAATGAAAATTTAACTAAAATGAATAACAATAATAATAATAGCGCATCAAATATTAAGAAAGGAGGGAAGGTGGTGAAAGCAGAAAAGGGGGAAAAAAAAGGATAAAATTGGTTATAGATGGTCAAAAAGTGAGTGGTCGATTTACTATATAAAACAACACCATTCTGATCCCCGACTTCATGGGCACATTGTAAGGTTTTTTTGAATTAAAGCCGGGTTGGGCGGGTAGAGTAAGATTGCATTCTTTTCATCCTTTTTATACTTATTTTAAATTTTTCGTGGATTTTCCGTGTAGCTTAAGTGGGAGCAGATTAAAATTTACAACAGAAAAAGAAAAATTAGGATAAATTAAAGCAAAATAAAGAGAGAGTGAAAATAACTGATTATATGGATGGACCATCTTGTATTAGCAGACATGAAAGAGGGGGTAGAAGTAATGATATTGTTTGGGAAAAATCCTCAAGTCAATTATAATGCAAAAGTATGAATTCGAATGCAAGCCACAATCGAGATATTAAAAAGACAACCAATTCGAAATAACTAACCAAGAAAAATACGATATGAATAAAGAAATGAGGAAAGCAAAATAAAAAAAGCTTCACTTTTTCAAAGCTCCGTTTAGCATGGTCATCATAACACACATTCAAATACTCACTTTCTCTCTTACCCTCTCTTTATGCAGACAAAGAATCAAGCGAGTAAAATCTTTCCACAATTAAATCCTGTAAGCTTTCACCAATGGTTCTTTATCAAGAAATCTGGATCGAACCAATTTACAGTTAATCTTTCAACCGGAATCTTCGATTACTAGCCACATAACATGTGCGACAACAACGAGACCGACACGGAAATAGCGAACCATCAGTAAACATGTTATTAATTTTTGTCTATGGAAGACCAAACGGATAGCAATTGACAAATCATCCAAAAACGTACAAATTTAGATTTCCTTTATCCATGCAAATAATACCTCTTACAACATAAAAATCTTGCTGATATATGTATGATAATTTTATAGTATCTTCTTTTTAAGCACTTTGGGAATTTTTTTTCATAAAGGTAGCAAACAGAATTAATAGCTATTTATATATTTATAGTCATCCATTGCTGATATTATCTCCCGTGTTGGTAGATCAGGGGGAGTTAACTCGATTTTTCTTGGTATTACCACATCCGACGAATTGCAATATGGGTCGCCCGTAGTGTGTATTCATTCTGATTGGACAAAGAAAATGTTTTTTGTATATTTAAAAATAATATCAGAAAAATCGTCAAAGTTATTATTTCTTTCTAAATAAATAGATATAAGTAAATAGAATTACCGGGTGTTTCATGCATCTCCCTCCAGTCTTTAAGCATGAATGGTTTTTAAAAAATTATTTTTTTAGTCGATGCTATTTCAATGCTCATTGCAAGGTATTTAATTAGATTTTAAAATAAATCAATAAGTTATTTTTTTAATTATAATCCCTCAACGTCAAAAAGCAACACAGCAACAGCTTTAAAAAAAAAAAAAAAAAATCTGTGAAATAGAATAAATAATAGACAATGATTTTATCTTTGTTTTTTTTTTTTTATATATATATTATATAAATTATATGTTAGTTTTATTTTTTATTTCCTAGATTTAACGCTCCTAAGTAAGCATACATTTAACTCCGGTCAATAAATAAGCAAGTTGAATAGTCTGAATGTAGAACCCCAAAATAAATCTATAAATTATAAAAAGAGAAATTCTTTCTTTAACATCAACACAAGAAGTAGCAGTAGCTAAAAAAATTAATTATAATAAATTGTTCTACACAAATTACCAACAAAAATAAAATGATGGAGCATTGATCAGAGAGGAAATCAGAAATAAATCTATAAATAGTGGATACGAATCTACTTTTGATCATTTAGTTAAAGTTGAAAAAAATTTATATAACTTCATTGCCAACAACCTACGCGTGGCTGGACGCCATGTTCGCTCTCGCAGTTTTACAATTATTCATTTAAAAATACAGTATTTTCGAAGTCAATCCTTTATTTAGTTTATTTAATAGCATTTATATTTATTGTATTTAGACTATACTTAAGATAATAAATTACTTAAAATAATGGAATCTTTTTATTAAAAAACTAAATAGGATCTTAATATTGTACCTTCAACAATACAAAAAAATTATACCCGCTCAACAAATTAATGGCGTCTTGACTTCATCTATTCTCTTTTTTAGTTATACTTGGCTTCCATTTACTTAACTTTATAATTAAAATATAAACAAAATAGATTTTAGAGAGTATTTTTAAGTAGGCAGTTCGCATAACTAATTTAGGGAGGAGCTGGTGTTATCTGACACTTCGATAATACAGCACAACAAACAATAAGTATATAAAAAAAAAGACAGATTGATAATTGAAGACGGAAGTTTAACACTTACCATACCAAAACACTCCTAATCCCTCAAACTCTTCTTTTTCTTACCTTTCTGTAAAATCTAACATCGGAATATTGTTAGTAATGTTAGAATATAAATAATGCAGTAATCTTTGAGAAAATCACTACACACTGTTGCTATTTAGATATCTGCTTCTCTCGCTTAATTCCTTCCCTTCTATATCACATTCCTGTCTTCTATATTATTATTATTATGACAATGCAGAGAAATTCATTTAACTTTTTTTCCTCTAATTTCTTTAAGTGTCTGTTTTTGTCTCCGGTTTTCCCCTGAAACTATTTCCTCTTAAATCAGAAAAGAAAACATGAATTTTATTAAGTTAAAAATTCTAAAGCAAGTATTCACAATTAAAAAAAAATATTGACTCAGAAAAGTTTTTAAACTAACTACTAAAAAGGCTATCATCGACCTATGCAGTTTTTTAACAATTTTAAAGAAAATCAACAACTTTACAGAATGTTTAATTTTTTTTTTAATAAAAAAAAGCGAACGTTTTTAAACAGAATTGAAGTCTTCCTTTTAGTTTTAAGTTTTAATTTAAATTCATCATTTACAGCTCTTGAAAATGATATTTTTCAAAGTTAGGTGGGGGGGGGAAATACCCTCAAATTTTCAGAATTTTTATATCTATTTTATTTTTCAATATCAGTCATTTAAACTAAACAAAAAAGTTTTTAACCGACTAACCAATTTAATGTAAAAATGGGTTAAAAAAAAAGTCTACAACGCAACTTAAATTTTTTTTAAAAAGTCCTTAAAAGAATGAAACAGTGAAAAAAAACTATCTATCTCGTGTAGCGAAACAAAAATATTTTTAAACTAAACTTTAATTAGTCATAAGGCGAGATAAGTAAAAAAAAAAATGCATTTTAACTTAAAAATAGTTTCAGAAATTCGAAAAGTTCCTATCAATATCATTTTTTTAGTTACTCAGTAATTTTTTAGATTTCATTTCATTAATTGTGTTCAAATTCACATTTTTTTTTAAAAAACTGAAGTGAAATTAATCACTCAATGAATATTCGTCAATATTGTCATTGTATTTTTTTAATTTATTCACTAATTTATTTTTTAAGAAAAATGAAAATACTGGAAAACATTTTAAAAAGTTGATTTCTTCTGTCATTACGTACGAGGATGTATCAATCAATATAAATTTTCAGCTTGGAGACATAATTGAAAGTTTCAATTTAAGTCACCATTATTTAAAATAAAAATGTATTGAAGAAAGAGTAGTTTGTGTAGTAAAAATGTAAATGCCTTTTCATGATTAGATGGATTTAAATCCATTATGATAGAGAAAGAACAAATAGGGAATGTTTCCTATGTTTCCTTATCCTATCATTTTGATGGAATCCATATTTGATCCCACTTCACATATGTACACGTTTGAATTTAAAATAGAGCACTCATATATACATCCCACACCGTTTGCACGACTCAGAGTTCATGTCAAACGCAACGCAATTTTCAGGTGCTTAGTGTGTGTGTGTGTTTTTATATATATATATATATATATATATATATATATATATATATATATATATATATATATAAAATAAAAAGTTAGCAATTAAAAATAATGTATCGTCTGGGTTGTTTTTTATACACGTTTTTGAGAGAAGTTTGTTTTTATTTCCAATTTATGAAAAATTATCTTTACATATATATACTGACCAACAAGAGTCATGGTCTCAAGCCTTTGTAACATCCAGAATAGTGGGACAGGTGTGAGCCTAATTTTTTAAATAAATAAAACCAGGTCAGTAGATACTGGAGAAGACTTTTGACAGCAAGGGGACAAGACAAATTGTCAATATCAAAGAAGGCATTTGACATCAAGAAGAGAACATCAAAGAAGGCATTAGTTACCGGCCATCTGCAGAGAAACCAAAAGTTCAAGTGAAAATTCTCCTGTGGTTGGACAGCCAAGAATGAAAAGAATTCTAAGAAATCTTCTCAGGAACGAACTGTGTGAAGTTAAAAGGGACTTTTCAAAAAATTACTGTATGTCCCAGAGATGCTTGTGGGGCAAGTAAAAGTAGATCCTTTCATTTTTTTCTCAAAGGTTGTTGCACATTTGTTTTTGACTGCCTTGTATTATTTTCTCTTTTTGTCATTTTCAAAATTCTTGTCTTTTCCCAAACTAACTGTAATTTTTTTTCATTTTTCACTGGTAATCTTTTTATCTGAAATTTTTATCCTACCTTACTAAGTACACAAAAGGAAATTTTTGTGCAAAAACTTGTATTTGTACCTTTTTCCATAATTGTGTAAATAAATGTTTTTCTTTTTAACATTTTATATAATGATTGTCTTATTTTGTAATTTTTCACCTATTATTATGACTTACTATTTCTACTAAGTTTTTGTGTTTAGCAAAAGCATTTGGATTTGGTAAGAATAAAATTGATATATATATATATATATATATATATATATATATATATATGGTAACAAATAAAAGTAAATGTTCAATTTATATGCCCTACTAGATCTGTGGCAATGTATGTACTTGTCAAGGATTTTAATTTTTAGCAAAATATAATCTTTGTTGTCATGCATTCACACACACACAAGATGTAATTCATGAAAACCAGTTGGATGATTAAAGTTTTTAAAATTTTTCACTATATACAACCATTTTTAAGACAACTGTTTGATAATGCTCATAGAGAACAAAATGTTGAGAAGAAAATATTTAAAAAATTAAACATTTAAGTGGTTTCTATGAATTTCATCATATACTTTGTTTGAATATCTCATATAAATCATTTTCCATACTGCTCAAACTCACTCAATATGCCCTTGCTGCTCACTGAGTAGCCTCATAGGAGAGTATCTATTCATGCATGTGCAGTAAGGGCCTCTCTGCAAAATTACATCAAGGATGTACAATTGGTTTTTGAGATAGTAAAAAAGACTGAATACCTTCCAGACAAACGCTATTATTTTCAAGTATTCACAACAGAGAAAATAAAAAGTTATTTAATGTTAAGATAAAAACCTACTTACATAGTAAATATAACCAATTTTAATTTAAAATCATTTAATTCTATACATCTTCTAAATATTTTATATATCTAGTACATATATGCACACAAGTAATAAGGCTTGTGTCCTCGATTTTATAAATTTCAAAATCAGTTTTGTTGAATCAATGTAGACATATAGAATTGTTATGTTTGTGAAGAGAAAGTTAAAAATTCTAATAAATTAAAATTTGGTAAAATGAACAAATTAAACAGATTCAAATTATAGCAAACACATTATTAGAACATATTCTGTTAATCAGTTTCAGACAAAATAAAAATGTCTTTTTAAAGATACAGCATCTCTTCTGAATGAATACCATCTTAAAATTTAATTAACTTATAATTCATGTAGAAAGATAAAAATCACACAGTATTTAAAACACATATCAAATTATTAATTTGCAAAGTTTCAGATTTTAAGCATATATGGTTATTAAGTTATTATAAATTTTATACCCTTCAACATCCTTTAAAATGGGGCCCACTTATCAAATAATCAGTCAGAGTCCAAACATGATATTATGAGTAGCAGCTGGATAACATGAGCACAAAAAGAAGCCATTAAAAATCTTCCAGTGTTTGGTCCATTCCCTGTAGTATGAAAATTGTCTTCATAAGAAGAAAATGAACTAAAAAAGAAAAAAACAATTTTTCTGACTCAACGTAACTATTTCTGAGATATAAAAATTTTTGATTTATGTGTTATCTGCTTTCTAATTCTCATTTCATTTCTCATTGCAGATAAGGTGAATATTTTTACAAGGTCAAGCTTTCATACCTTCAATCTTCCATGGAACTATACCATGTAACTAAGAGAAAAATAATGGATCAATTAAATTGGTCTCTTTTGTTTTTCAAAAGTCCTAAGTTTGGAGCCACCAGAAAGAAATAGAAGCAAAGTTGGCAACCAAAAGTCACTTCAGAAGAATTCCACTTTGGCTACCAGCAACTTCAAAGGAACTGTCTTCAATTGTCTATCCAATTTTACCAACTGGCTTATGTCCAAAGACATAGTTGTAAGTTTAACAGATTCATTTTATGAATCTCAATTGTTTTTTTATTTTTTAAATTATTATTATTATTATTATTATTATACTTCCAATCCATGTAAGCATTAATTTAATTTATTTTGAAAATGATTATTTTACCAAATTTTGTTGTGGGACTCACAGTCAATCCTAATGGGCCTCCACATAAATATTAACTTTGTGTTCATTACAAAATTCTAAGACTTAAATAAAATTCAAGTTAAATAGGCTTTCAACAAAGTCTTCATTAGGCCACAGTATATTTGTGTTTGTGATAACTCATTTATCCTCTCTGTCTGCAGATCTTTCAACAACATGTTTGTAAAAGTGTTGTGGGAGAAAAACCTTTGAACTCATTGACCATACGTTGTTTTTAATCATTTCACCCAAATCAAGGCAATAAAGCAACTAAACCACAAAGTATTACTGAGAGTGAAGGAAACTGAAAAAACGTTATTGAAGAAAAAAGTCCATAAAAGAGGATAAAAAAAAAACAGATGATGACAATTCATGTTGCATTTCAATTTTTGAAGATCATACTTAAAAGGAAAGCAAGAAGCTGGAAGAGAGGCAAGAAGAGAGAAGAAAGTATTAGAAAAGGCACAGGGAAGCTATGTTATGGCAGTTGAAAAGTGACTGATGCCAGATTAAGACCAATAACATTGCAGATTCTTCTCTGAATTTTGTCAAAAATCTCAAGGTAGCTAGATACAACCATAAGTTCTATTCTAAAAGTCCCTTTTCCCCACACTTCTCACATGAGGAACTCTATACTGACCTATTGCTTCCCTTTCACCTACAAGCTTCAAAAATTTAAGTGCAACATCAGTTGCCATATTCTGTCATCCTGAATCCTGATTTTTTGTCCATTCTTCTCACTAATGCTTTTCTTATTTTCTTTCAATCTTGTGTTTTAGTGATA